CATGTCCCGGCTCTGACGGGGAAGGTCGTAGGGAACCATGTGACTTGCGTTGTAGATGAGCACATAAGTCAAGTTTCTGGCATATTGATAGATACCAGCCGGCTCGCCTTCAAAACTCCAGTCGTGTCGAGGAGCCCAGACGCCGGGTGAGGTCTCGAAACCGGTGCCCCCGTTCCACTTCATGTTGTTGATGAGCTGTTCTGTTCCGACATGGTTGCAAATTAGGTCCTTGTCTCCGCTGAAAAGAAGGATTTGAAGGCCCGATTCCAGCAAGCCAGGAAGTAGTTGAACCGAAGGCGGGGACTTTTGCGGATTGAAGGCGCTGCTCACTGCTCCTGAACACTCCACCCAGCCAGACTTCTTCTCCGGATTGATGTTAAGCGCTTTAACCACATCTTCTCGCTGCAGGTAAGGCTTCACGTCCTCCAGGTCGGTCGGCCAGTTCATACCGCATGCGTCGGTGGTGTCACGAAGGCGGATGTCATACATGTTGAGACATTGGTTGTCTTCGACCGTCTTATCCAACAGAGCATTCATGACCTTCTCGCAATCGTTCAGATGGACCTTGTTCTTGCCCGTTTCCAACCGGGACTTGCAGACTGACTGCAAGACTTCGAGTTCCTTCGCGACCCGGCTGCCTTCCTTGATAAGGCCTTCTTCATATGCGTAGGGTAAGTAGGACATGTACTGTTCATTTGGAGAAATCCAACCATTGCCAATCAATAGACCTTTCAGATTCCACGAAGCGATGGTCTTTCCTTGAACATTCTTGTTCCGTTCCTGAATGGCTTTTGCGATGTATGGAATATGCTGACCGGCGTAGGACTCGCCGGCAATGTAGATCTGTGGGAGATGTTAGTAAAGAATCCTTTAGGGTGCGAGGCTAGGGTAGAGCGGGTTATTGCAGCATACATCATCGCGTTCATACTCCGGAAATAATCTGAACCACTCTTCCAGGAAGACAATGAACTGAGCCGACATCTCATCGAGCTCATGGAGATAACTGTCCGTGTTGACGTAACTGAACCCGGTTCCAACTGGCTGATCGACGAACAACAAATTGGCAAATTCATCCCAGGAACCCTCATTATAGGTCAAGGTTTCATTGTCCTTCAGGCGATACGGACCGACCTCCATCAATGCGCCGTCCATGGAACTACATCCGGGCCCACCGTTCAGCCAGATCACGGTTCGTTGGCGGTTGGCGATATGGCGATTTTGATAATGCCAAAAGAAAAGGTTTCCATTGTTCTGTGGATCCACCTCGATATGGCTGCGCGTGGAGGCCGCAAGTCAGTATATGAGTGCTAAGCGAACCGTTCCGGAATATTGAAGCTTACCCAGCATGCATCTTCAGCAAGGGCCCCTCGGGGGCACCGGGCAAGGAGTGAACATAATAGTCTGCGGCCGACTTGGCTGATACCAAGGACGGGCTCAGAAAAAGGAGCGTTGAGATCAACCAGGACGCCATTGAGGGAATGGAAGTGGTCTCCCCGCGGAATGATAAGGAGACCATGTGTAGGCGATTAGGACTGAGATATGGCGGCGGCGGCGGCGGCGGAGGCGGATGACCGGGGTAGTAGTAGATAGTGCCGAAGAAGGCGCGGAGGAAACGGTCCCAAGTGGGATTGAAATCGCGCTCAAGGAGTCATCGAATTTCAGCCAGCGGGGCCTTGCACTTTTCGCTTACCCGTCACCCTTGGGGGCGGAGGTAATGGGAAGCAACGCTCTCGGGGATTACGTCGGCGGAGAGGACCGGGAGGGAACCTGGTTCAGGAACAGGGATAAAGGTCAAGGCCAGAGGGAGGCGGGGTAGGAGTGTTTGTGACCTCTAGCACAAGAGCCGCTGTCCAGACACGCGCCAGATGTGAAGTTCAAGAGACTCTGAAGGAGAAAAGGGGAGGGAGAGGGCGAAAGATGGGAAAGGGAAGTGGATGAGAGAGACAGCTGAGGGAGAGAGAGTGGATAGAGAGAGCATAAGAGGATGGCGTGGCCAGACGGGGCGGCGCTCGGTATGGCCCCGTATCAGCCGGTATCTGGCTGATCCCGTTACGATTGTTACGCACCCTAAAGAGGCGTGAGAAGCGGCCTGATGGAAGGGATGAAACCATTCTGATACCGTTTCCAGACCGTCTCAGCCTATCGTTGCCTATTTGGGGGCTCTATAGGTTGCTTCTATAGAAAGACTCGAATCCCGTCGCATTCTCTGGTTCTATGACTTTTCTGACTGTGTCTTTCTCATGCATTGTGTGAATCGGCCAGATAGAACGCCACAATGTCCTCGTGGCAATAGCTCCAATGGTTATCTGACCATATCGCTTTCCCTTTTCCGAAGCTATCCGTGATGTAGTTCTCGCCGGTGCTAGCCAAGAGTTCGCCCGAATCGGGTCAGTCCTTAGGGTCTATGACTTAGTCCTTCTACATCTTGCGGGTCTAGCGCTCATGATTTCTTATTATATTTCTCTCTTTAACTATCCTGTACAGATGTTTATTTTTCGGACAAGCTACGTCCGCTGCTGGTATACCAGATCAAACAAGATCATCGATGCCCTGGTCAGCATCCTTTTTGATCAAGTCAACCATGCCCTGGGATTTGTCAGTGATATCGTGAGATGAGAATTGATGTCTCTGTGGGTGAGAGGTTCTTCCAGGACGCACCTTGGGCATGATTGGCTCTCCATCATCGCCCTTTACATAGCGGAACGGCATCTCGGTGCGTTCATGCTCGTTAATCAAAATTTCCGGGTAGTCAATGTACTGAATTTGCTCCAGGGGCACTGTCCCGGGGTCAGCTCTTGTCTCTCATCTCACTGTCCGGAGAAGCAGGGGTTGACCTTTCTCATGCACGACCATGCGCGTAACACGCACCGCCGTGTCCGTGGTCATCTGCTTAGGGCCCAGTCTTCTTCCGGCATAACCCTTCTTGCGCAGTTCGGAAGTCCGATCTGAATCCATTTCGTCAACAGCTTGAACCTCATGGTTACTGCTATTTCAAAAGGGAACTTACCACGAGGAGGATCATCGCCTGAAGACCAACGGATCTCGACGGTTAGCTATCTTGGAAATATCGTAATGCCAACTAGATACCTCCGACAGTCCAGGCTCGATGATTAGGAGCACTCACCAAGAATCCCTCCGAAAAGGAAGACATCAAAAGTGTCTGCATCAGCGGGACTCAACTCCACGGTGGCAGCGGGGTCCAGCAGGCAGACTCTGGATTTCCGATCCGCAAAGATCTGCTCGACACTGCGATGCTCCACCCCAAGGCCTGGGGTAGCAGCCAGGTCTTCTGGCATCTGCAAGGAGGTGGGCACCGAACTGAGGAGAAATTTGCTTCCCGCGGCGTGTGATTCACGGGCAATGCAGCCATACTCCAGGGCGGACCAAGCGCCCAGCTCGGGGTCCAGATGTTCGACCACAATGGTCACGGGTTCCGAACCTTGCGCGGACATGGTGTCGCAATTGGAAGGATTTGATGTATCCTGCAGTTGAGACAATGGCTTAGAGCGTTTACAATTGGATGGGTGTATCGAGAGAAGAGGTGTGAACCAGCCAAAGTGTGTCGTCCCAGGTAGTTATACCTTGTTCTTCTTTTCCCTTTTCTTGTCGTCAGAATATAACGGCAACCAAGAATTATGAGAATAGGAAAGAAAAAATGTCCCAAGATAATTCTGAATTTTGAATAGTATGGACAGAGAGAGAGAACAATGGGGAATATCCTACGTGGAAATAAAATCCAGCAAGACTGGAAGAAGAGATGAGTGCGATGCGTTCGTGGAGGGGCAGAATGGAGAAGAGCTGCTGAATTTGATTCCGTTTGAAGAAGTCAATTCGAGGTCGAATACCGAGTACTAATAATACCACCCCGACAAGTTCACCACCACCACCATCACATTACCACTCCCTATTTACATCTTGCAATTACTACCAGGGGACTCTGAAGCAGATGAGGCAGTTTACTTCTAATCGAATATTTGCATAATTAAATAAAAAAAAAAAAAAAAGAGTGATTTGTTGGATATTCTCTGCATCTGATTTCACAATGAAACCATGGAGGGGTTGGCTGGGTTTGGTTTCTAATCGATAAACCGGCAACTTATCAAGGCCAACAACGATAAAGACTATCGGCACTTGAATCTAAGTAGTAGTTCTTTAATTTACTAATTGCACTAAAACCACTGATGGCATTGACACCGCCGTCAAGCAGAATTACATAGATCTGTGGTGAACATGAAATTGTACAACAGTCCATACACACGTTAAATTAACTCTTGTGAATTTACCGATTGATTTATGCTGGAAGTGAGTTGCCGGCAAGGTCGGTATTGGTATGTAACAGTATAGTCACGAGGTAGTGGATCCGTTCCAGAATACACCAGACTAAACCAGATGCAGATAGCATCATACTATAACAGGCATTGTGGGTACAGGTGGATCGACATTAGCGGAGAACAGGGTTGGTACTGAGACGGTCACAGCCAACTATCGGGCAGTGGCACCTTCCCCCAATTATGACGGGCAAGGTCACTTCTCTCTCTGTCTCTCTGTCTCTCTTTATCTTCGGACTGCTTGCTTGACTTGCTCTTCTGCCTCTTCCTCCTCCCACTTTCAACTCATCCCCTCCCCCCCCCTTTTTCTCTTCTTTCTCTTATCTTCTCGGTTTGACCAACTCAGTTCATTTCAATTTTATCTTCTTCGTTCTCTCTTGCTTTCACGCCCTTCCCTTCCCTTCCACCCCCCCCTTTGGTTCAGTCAACTCGACCAACTTATTGGTGTCGTCCCATCCTGTGGAATCTATACTTTCCTCCCCGCCATCGGTGGGGTTTCCTGACGACACTCCCTTCCAGTGACCACGCCTCACCCAGTCCTGTCCCCCCCTCAACAACCTAACAACCTCACCTTATTTTTGCCCAACTCTTCCTTCTCTATTTCTCGTCACCGACTTTACTGTCTTTCTTTCTCTCCTGTCAATCCTCAATTTTCAACTTTGGTTCGCCAATATGAATCCCCATCAGCAGAACAAGATCGATACTAGCGTGAGTCTTTCCCGAGCGACTAATCCCTTTGAAAATAATGTTCCTTATTGGACTGACAATGACTTTGTGTCTATCTAGAAAATGAGCCCGGATGAGCAGCGGCTCTTCCGCCTCTATGGCAAGATGCCCACCAAGAAAGACCTCCTGCAGAACAAACTGAAGGTATGCCGACTTAATTGTCTTCGCGCAGTCTGTCCGTCAACCCTCTAATCGCGGGCTTGTTGCTGTTTAGGAGCGCAAATACTTTGACTCGGGTGACTACGCACTCAGCAAGGCCGGAAAGGCTTCGGACGTCGGTGTCACCAACATTGGCTCCCAGCACCCCGTCCCGGAGAACATTCCTCACCTAACTGCCACCTCGCCTGGTGCTAACAACCCTGCGGCTGCAAGCAATGGCGGCAGCATCAGTGCTCAAGGAGGCCAGCAGATCCCTGGTAGCATCAGTGGTCATCCCGGCTCCATCGGATTTCAGAGCCGAAGCCCTGTGAAGGAGGCAAGTTATCTGCAACGGGAAACAAGTGCGGATGAGACCGAGGAAGCCGAGAAGAAGGAAGATGACAGCGTGAGCCCACCCCCAGCGCGTGGCGGTGTCCCGATCCGGCAATAAATGCCTGAACTGTCATTCGTGTTCTCCATGCCCCGTTCACACTTGTTTCGCATCATGTCTCTGGTTTCCCCGTCGGTGGTGGTGGCATCAAAAGAGCCTGGCGCTATGGATCGATTTTAATGTATTTACGACATTTGTTTCCCTTCTTCTCCCCTTTCCGTTTCTAGCGATTTCTGTGGAAAAAACAGAATGGCCTTGTTTCAGAGCTGGCGGCAATGAAGTTGCAAGGGCGGCGGGAGCCGAGGCTCGGTCCAGTTAGGGCCACTTATCAAAAGCTCAAGCCGGAGCTGTGCTCTGAGGCCGTCTACTTGGACCAAGCTCGCTTACTGGACCCGTCCTCTCAGGATTCGTTGCTCGTGGTATCGGCTTTGAGGTCACCTCAACGCTTTTCGTTTTGAAACTTCTTCTCTTCTCTGTCAATATCAGCTGCAGAACATATATTGGTCATTTGCTGGTCCAATTATCCCACAGGCCCCTTGCTGGTGCGTTCATTCCCGCTCATATGTGTGTGTGTGATGCCGCACAGAACGTGAGATCGTTTCGCATACTGTTGTTATCTTATGGATGGAGGAGTACGTGAGTGAGTGCGTGCTGGATACACGGTTCAATTCGGAGATGGCAATGCACATGGCATCTGTTCTATTCCTGAAGTACGTTGGCAAACGAGCCCTCATCAGGGCCAAAATGCAAATTGATGGTTTTTCTCCGTCCATGTTGCGGTCTCAGATCCCATGCCGTATGTGTGAGCTCTACATTGATACGGTAGGCGGAATGCATCCCGTGTGCATTTACTATCCCATCCGTTTAGGAGTGCGGAATAGCGCACCTTGGGTGCCGGCAACGTGATTTTCGCTCAGTTGATATTCTGCGCTATGTGTAACATGAAGATGACCAATACAAGATCGCTACAGGCGGGGGGAAGACATCGTATCTTCCATCGCAAAACTGTCATTGGGTATAAGAACTCGTCTAAGGCACACAAAAGGCAACAAAGCCTGGGATGGGGCAATACATGCTGTTATATGATCCTTGATTGCGAATTGGAAGAGAAAAATAATTGCATAAAAATAAAAATAAATTGACGACTCAGCAAAACGACTGGGGTATAGTAACAAGAGTGGCTCGCAAGACCATAGTGTAATTGAGAGAGGACCAGTTTAGAAAGGAGCGATGAAAGGCAGGAGGGTACCTAAACCCCGAGCGGAAGGGGCCCACAGAGTGTTTGCAGGGACAGCAAGGCAGCAAAATAAGCCGAGTGCACCATTATTGAACCCGCCGTCGCGGGTGGGGTGCTCATGACCGACAAAGGCTATACATTATCATTGCCACCCAGCTAGGGGGGCAATGATTGCATGGCTCTGGTATAGCTGTGTGAAGGGTGTGGTCGAGAGCTGTTTGCTGCCCCGTACCTGTATTACCGGAGTAACATACTCAGAGTGGGATGCTGCAAGTAGGGCCAATGGAAAAGCTTCTGTGCTTCCGGTCCCCATTCAAAGAAATGTAATAGTATCTGAGATAGCAAAATGACAATGCTAGCCTTCGAAGTGCTTTTGATAGAAGCTCCAGCGAAAAGCATGCTTTGGGTGCCTGGCATAGTCTAGCCTGAAAAGTCGAAGAATCCGGGCAATAGTAGCCTCAGCTGTAGGCTTCGAAAGGCGTCCGTGTCCGGCTCGATAGTTGTAAATGAAGAGCCAAGCGATTCCGACGAAGGCTGCGGTATCTCCGCAGTCCACGTCGACAAGATGCCAGAATGTTGCATCCAGATTTTTAACGGCTCCATTCAGTCGGTCTTCCAGTGACCAGCGAGTCCGGAGTCCAGATCGTCGTTCTCACCGAGGTACAACTCGACAGCGTACAAGGCCATGGTGCCGGCGAGGTTGGCCCACCGCCAAAGGTTTCCACCGCCGGCTCCTTGGGTGCTCCACCACTCGCCACTGCCACCCATTGCTTGAGAGGTAGAAGCGAAATGCTGCATCAGGAGACTGGTGTACACGGCGATGAGGATGGACGGAGAGAAGTAGCTTAGTACGCCCAAGAATTGGCCCGCCGCATCGGAGTCGTCCAACGAGGCTTCTTGGGAAAGAGCTCGGGCACCCGCTTCGCGGACGGCGGGTATGATGCGAGTCGATGCGTACAGAACCAGGATTCGATATGTGAGCGAGATCAATACGGAAGGGGTGACGGCACCGAACACTGCCGTGATAACGTTGAAGGCGGCGTGGATGATGGAGGGCAAGGTGGACAAGGCGTGCATCAGGGTCGTGTAGGAAGCCATGATAATAGGAGGAAGCGGCGGGAAGTCCCCGGCTTGAGCGGGGGAAGGTACTTGCTCCACAGGATGCGATGGCTGGTAATCAGTGAAAATCTGGTAGATGCAGAGAACGATGTACGCGAACAGTAGAGAACTTTCTACTGGGTTTCCTCGCCCACTGCCAATGCCCCACGCGCAGAGGATCACGGCACAGGTGATGGATACCCCGATCAAAGCGGCATCAACATTTGAGATCTCGGGGAATTGGAGGACCCGCCACAGGAAGTATACCGAGCTCGATATGATGGAGGCGGATAGTACCAGGAGACCGATCTAGCGAAGCACGAATTAGCAAATAGGCATCCTGCCAATGTGGGCTATGGAGTGACGTGGACATACCATCCAACTATCGCTTCGCCCACCATGGTTGACAAGCCAGCGGGTAATCTGCCCTGCAGCCTGGATGACCAATAAGCTGCAGAATCCTTCCACCAGCTGGAAAACCGGGGTCGACCATCTCAGCAATTTATCCCAGTTCCCGATAGTCACTGATTCCACCAGCCCATCAGGCCCAAACAGCCACTCCTGGATCGACGAGTCGTGGGCTCTCTTGCCCGTAAAGGTCCGCTCCACCCAAGAGCCAGCATTATCGGTATCGATCGAGAAGCGGTTCAGCGACCAGATAAGCAGGATCGGAATAATGAGCCATTGCGTCGAGCTAATGACGACGATCAGGGAGGAGCGGAGCCATGACCGATCAGGCGTAGTGAGGCGCAGAAGCGAAAATAGGAAATAGAAGGTGGCCAGGGACAAGGAATAGGCCAGACCGCATGTTTTCCCACCCACATCAAAGGCGAGGGGAATGGAAGAGACGGTGACGGCCAGAAAGACGGCCGACGAAAGGGCGCGGAAGAACCACATCGGACAATATGGCCCAGGGCTACTGGACAGGGGACGCGCGCGAGAGAAGCAGATGAGGCACGGGGAGGGTCAAATATGCTGGAGGATAGAGCGAGCAGGTACGGACGGACGCGGTGTCAACTTAATAGGTTAGACAGCCTCCAAGAGTTAATCTTGGGGTGGAAGCGCGAGAGAGTGACGAAATCCCGATTTAAGGATACATGAAGCCCGATTTCCCGAATTCTAGACTGGGTTTTGAGCTCGCAGGGCGATGCTAGCTGGGTCTATGAAGAAATAGAAAAATTCTCCCTCTTCTTTCCAGGCGATGTAAGATTTTGATCTTATCACTTAAGCGGAACGGAATATGATGATGGATGATGGATGATGGGATGGGACTGGGCTTGGACTGGTTGTGGCACGTGCAAAGGATAAATAGTGTCAGACACGCCAACCGATCGCTGGACAGATTCGCTTTTTCTTTTTCTCGGGACAGAGCCACTGACAGAGGCGCAAAAGCTTAACAGCCGCAGCGACTCGGGATGGACAGAAAGTAGAGGCACAAAAACCAGGAAAGGGGCGATGAAGCCGGGGGGCGCAGACCGAGTTTAGGTGGGCAATTCGACGATAGTCGCAATAGTAATAATAATAATAATAACACCAAATCCACTCCACCCGTTTTAGCGTAGAACGGAAGGCGGTGGAGCTGGTCCAGATGCTTAGTCGGCTGCAAGTAGCGGTCAGAAGGGGAAAATAAAAAGAAAGAAGTTGCAGGAAGGAAAAGATGATGCCCAAACTGGTGGAGATGGTTGAAGAAATAAATATCAACGGAACAAGATCGAAGTTGGCTGAATGAATCCTTCAGGATATCTAACAAAACATACAGCAGACATACAGCATACAGTACGTAAATCTAGCTGATTACATACACGGATTTCTTCTTCAGGACTAGTTCTTCCCCTCTCTTTCACATGCTTCCGTTAAGCCCTTGCGATAAAAGCCCTAAAGAGCAGCCCGATGAAGTCAAGCGGCAGTTGCAAACTCGCCCAGGTCTTTTCCTCTTGTGGAAGGCGCTGTTCTTCCAGTCAACCAATCACAAATCACAGATACCAACCCGATCCCCAATCCAGACCCCTCATAGACTGGTTCTTTCTCCAAAAGGTAACTTACTGTAGTATTCCGATTACCTAGTAGTACTTTACTTTTAACCATTTCTTGAACCTCTTTCATCTCCATCTTTCACTCTTTCTCTGCTTTTCTATTAGTATATGCTCCGCTGGCGTCGATTCTTCACCATGGCCGAAACTGCTGCGAAGAAAGTCAAGACCTCCTCTCCCTTGATTGGAACTCACAAGTGAGTACGCGCAGAAGCTTCTTCTCCGGCTTCCCCTCCATTCATAGATTTGCGATGTGCTAACTCTTCCTCTTTTCCCTGCGCAGTGGTCACTTCCACGCCGATGAGGCTCTTGCTGTCTATCTCCTCCGTCTTCTGCCCACATACTCCTCCTCTCCCCTCCTGCGGACCAGAGACCCCGCTCAATTAGCTACCTGCCACACCGTCGTCGACGTGGGCGGAGAGTACGATGCTGCCAGCAACCGCTATGATCATCACCAGCGCACTTTCGCAACCACTTTCCCCAACCACAACACCAAGCTCTCCTCCGCGGGCTTGGTGTACATGCACTTCGGCCGGGCCATCATCGCCCAGCACACCTCGTTGCCCGTGGACCATGAGGACGTGACTCTCCTGTACGAGAAGCTTTACACCGATTTCATTGAAGCCATTGATGCCAACGATAATGGTGTCTCTGTCTACGACCCCGCTGCTGTTTCCGCTGCCAACATCCAGAAGCGCTTCAAGGATGGCGGGATCACCATCACCTCCGTGGTGGGTGACATGAACAACCCGGACCCCACTTGCCCTCCCGGCGAGCCTCAGGACGAGGATAGTCTGTTCGCCAGAGCCAGCACATTCATTGGCAACGTCTTTGCTCGCAAGTTGCACCATGCTGTTTCCTCCTGGCTGCCTGCGCGGACCACCGTAGGCGCTGCTTACCGTTCCCGTCGGGACGTTCACCCGTCCGGCCGGATCATCGTCCTGCCCCAGGGTGGTGTGCCCTGGAAGGAGCACCTCTACAACTTCGAGAAGGAAGCCTCTGGATCAGAGGAAACCAACCCTGATGAGGAGGCTTACTATGTTCTGTACCCCGAGAGTGCGGCAGAAGATTCGAAGTGGCGTGTGCAGTGCGTCTCTGTGAACGAGGGTAGCTTCGTGTCCCGCAAGCCTCTTCCCGAGGCGTGGCGGGGTGTCCGCGACGCCGATCTCGACGGTGTTATGGCCGCGGAGGCTGAGAAATCTGGAAAGCCCAAGGTTCCCGAGGGTGCCGTTTTCGTTCACGCCAGTGGCTTCATTGGTGGCCACCAGACCAAGGAAGGTGCCCTTGCCATGGCCACCCGTGGTCTGGAACAATAAGCTGCAAGTATAGTTGGCAGCTGCGGATGAATGCAAATTACGATAGATTTTATGCGTACATACTTCTTGTCATGACGGTACGGGATTCAGTTAGGAAAACTATCTAAAAGTTATATTGTTGGCCAAAGTGCTATGTTGAGAAATCAATGCATAAGGCATCGTTCAATCGTAGCCCTTGTTATTGGCTTATTCGTAATGAGACATTAGATAGCAAGGGGAAATCGCACTGATCACCCATGTCGCGTCTATTTCAACACTTGGCCGGGCAGGTTCCATTCGACTTTACTGATTCCTCCATTGCCCATCAACCACAGTGTCTTCAGCTCCGGGCCCGTCCAGGCAAAATTCTGGACCGTGTAATTGGTTTGAATTGTCAAGAGCAGCTCCCCAGAAGGGTCAAGAACATCGACACCTCGACCACATCCCGTCAGAATGTACCCATTCGCTGCCACTTTCAGTCCGTCCGGGACAAAGCCTGGTGCCAGATAAATGGCCCGTTTGTTATAAGCGTGGGCTCCATCCTCACTCACGTCAAACGCATAGATGGTCCTATAGAAGGAGAAAAGAGATGGATTAGTCACCTTTCGGGTCTTCGAGCATATCAGGTTCAGGCTTTACATACCGCCGATGCGTGGTATTAAACGTACTGCCCGGATGGCCATATTTGGGATCAATAGGAGCGCTGACTGCCGCAGTATCGCTGATGTATACGATAGATCCATCTGGGGTGAAAGCAATCCCGTTGGGCTGACCGATTGAGTCGTCCACAACTACCACAGCCCCAGAAGAAGTGTTATATCTGTAACTGGCGCAGGGAAGCTGGGGAGGGGTGTCTGTGATATCGTTGAACCAGGAGTATTCTGTACATCGGGGTATATCAATTAGCGAATTCCACATGGCACATGGTAGTGGTGAGAGCTTACGTGGATCTGTGAACCAGATATCGCCAGTCTTGGGATGCACGGCAATGTCGTCAATGGTGTTGAAGTAGTATCCAAAGTAATTGTTGACCAGGCTCGTTGTTTTATTTGTCTCTGGATCTAAGGTTCTGAGGGAGATGCGTTGTTCAGTCCCGCCAATTGAACTATTGCCGCCAGATGCGCCCCAGATGATTTTGCCGTCATGGAACGTGCCGCCATTGGGGGCATAGACTGGTGGATCAGAGAGGTATTCGGATAATGTTGGGGGATCCTGGTTGAGATCGACAACCAGCTGCGGAAGATAGCCTGGCGGCGGCGCGAGCTGCGAGAGGTACAGTTTGTTCTGCGATGCCACGTAGACGGGGGCTTCATGCACCGCATCGTTCACGGCAAAAACATATTCGTAGCTCGGGTTCGAGCCTAGGATATCGAGTCCTTTCTCTTTGTTATACACAATGAAATCTGCGGTCTTGACGTCTTGCAGGACTGTGCCGTTGGCTACGGTGGTATCACCGAAGGTCGTAACGGCGTCCATTGTGCTTACATTGCGAAAGAAGTGGTAGCTATTCTGAACGTCAATGGCTGCCCGGGCGATTTCAGCAGCTGGGATTTACGAGGGACTCACGGAAGCACATTCGCATAGTGATTGACGCAGACAACCGAAGGGCCACATTCTTCTGAGATGGGATGGGTAACGCCAGTCTGGGCTTGGACGAGACTGCCCGTGAAAGATGCAAGTAACAGCAGGAGATTTTTCATTGTGAATTGTAATTCCATATATAAGTTCCGTCAAGTCGACGTTTCGAAGAGATCAAGGAAGGCCCAGATACAGCCTTTCATTCCGATCAACAGATCCCTCGGTGGGCTATACAGTGATATTTGTAGACCATCCATCGGAAGATGGCGCGGGTAATTGGAAAGAGGAAGGAGTAATCAACGGGATGATCCCGATTTCTATCCAAGCCAGTTTGATCCCAAGCATACATGGGGGGGCTTGCCTCGGGGGGTTTTGAGGTCTTAGGGGCGACTGTTGGACGGATGCGGTAACTGGAAACCCTCCTCTTAGTGTGGGGTACAAACGACTTTGGGGCACGATCATCGCCCCTCCGGGAACTTCTCCCCCAAGACAAGCCATTCTCAATATTGCGGAGCGGCTTAGTATGTCTCGGCATTCTGGTTTTCGGATAAGCTCCCAGGCTTGCGGAAAATGAGCAAGCAGGTTCTGGTGACCTGTAAATCGGAGAACGTCCGAGGGGAGGGCCGAGGGAGATGCTGCAAAAGAAGCACAGTGTCTGTTTACCCCCAAGCAGATCCTTGCCATTGAAAAAGAAGAGAGCAAGTCATCCACTAATGCCGGATGTTCAGGGAACTAATGTCTTCAATGCTGCCAGTGCCATCGCCAGACACCGGGAGATCTTTGGCATCGGGATGTATATCCGAGTTGTCTTCCCTCTCGCCCACGGCACGCTGGATCAACTTGGCTTTAACAGCAGCGCCTTTCATGCGCTCATCTACATCATTCACCGCTTCCTCCGTGTTCACCATAGGCAGGGAAGCGGGGTCTACCAGTTCCAGCAGGATCTCGATGTTCTTGGCTAGCCTGGAGCTAGATGAAAGGCTCGACATTTCCTTGCAAATGGCGGGATCCAACAAGGAAGGTTCTTCCTTTTTGTGATCACTCTCCGGGGCTCCGTTAATCTGGCCATTGGACTCGGGGTTTCCCGACAGCTGCGAATCTGCAAGCCGTTGAGACCAGACCAGGGCTTTGCCGTATAGTCTTCCCAGTTCGAGGAACTTCTCGAATCCTTTCTCGACAGCAAACACACTACCCTCTGTATACCCGGCTTGTGCACCATCCGCTGCACCCAGATCGTAGCCCTCTTGGTAAAATTCTTCCTCCAGGTCGAGCAGACTCTCAAGTAGGTTATTGTTCTCCATGATTGCGATTCAAGATGGATAAAGAGATAGGCACGGGAGGGAAGGAATGAGAGATAAGACGGTAATAGAGTAGAGAACACGACAGTGGTATCTATGAATCTGCAATTAGTTGCAGCCGTGGAGTGGGGGCCAAAGGAATGGAACAGTAGGAGATGAGATGATATGAAAGGGAAGTGCCCAAAAAAAGTGCGGAGAGAAGCGGCCGAAAGCGATGAAGCGATGAATCATCCGCACCCGCGAAAAAGTTGCAACATTTCTACCCCTCCATCCCGCTGATAGTCCAATTCCCCGCCATCCGCCTCCAATTCCATCATGGCTTCCGACTCTAAGATCTTGCCCAAGAAGGGCCAGCGCAATATCCTGGTCACCAGTGCTTTGCCCTACGTCAACAACGTGCCTCACTTGGGTAACATTGTTGGTTCCGTTCTCAGTGCTGATGTCTTTGCCAGGTACTATCTATCCATCCTGCTTCCTTTGCCCTTCCTCCCCAATTGCTCCCTTTCTCTGGCTCCTGTTCGCGGGCTTTCTCATTAATTCCATTCCCACAATGCTAACACCCACTTCTTCAGATTCCACAAGGCTTGCGGACATCAAACACTCTACATCTGTGGTACCGATGAGTATGGAACGGCAACCGAGACCAAGGCTTTGGAGGAGAAGGTGACCCCGGAGGAGCTGTGCGCCAAGTACAACAAGATCCACCAGCAGGTGTACGAATGGTTTGAGATTGGCTTCGATCACTTCGGACGTACCCCGACCCAGCAACACACCGAAATCTCCCAGGCCATCTTCAAGAAGCTCTACGAGAACGGCTATCTGACGGAGAAGACGGCGGAACAGCCCTTCTGTGAGACACATGGATCTTTCTTGGCGGATCGTTACGTGGAAGGTGAATGCCCCCGGTGCCACTACGACGATGCTCGTGGTGACCAGTGCGATAAATGCGGTCACCTCTTGGATCCCTTCGACCTCATCAACCCCCGCTGCAAGCTTGATGGCGCCACCCCCGTCCGCCGCTCTACGAAACACATCCACCTTCTCCTCGACAAGCTCCAGCCTCAGATTGAAGAATGGTCTAAGAATGCCATCGAAAAGGGCGACTGGCCTAAGAACTCGCGTGTCATCACCGAGTCTTGGTTGAAGGAAGGTCTGAAGGACCGCGGTATCACCAGAGACCTGAAGTGGGGTGTCCCGGTGCCTCTGGAGGGATTCGAGAGCAAGGTGCTTTATGTCTGGTTTGAGGCTTGCATTGGTTACCCCTCCATCACGGCCAACTATACCCCCGATTGGGAGCTCTGGTGGCGGAACCCGGAGGATGTCCAGCTGTATCAGTTCCTGGGCAAGGATAACGTTCCCTTCCACAGTGTCATCTTCCCCGGTTCTCAGCTGGGAACCAAGGAGAAGTGGACGATGCTTCACCACCTGAGCACCACGGAGTACCTGAACTACGAGGGTGGCAAGTTCAGCAAGTCTAGAGGTATTGGTGTCTTTGGTACCAGCGCCAAGGAGACGGGTGTGCCCCCGGATGTGTGGCGCTACTACCTCCTGAAGAACCGTCCCGAGACTGGTGATACCCAGTTCGAATGGCGCTCCTTCGTTGAGAGCAACAACAGCGAGCTGCTGGCCAAGCTGGGCAACCTTGTCAACCGTGTCATCAAGCTTGTTACGGCATCTTACGGCTCGGTCGTTCCCGAGTTCACTGTCCCCGAGAGTTTCCAGCCTACCTTGGACGAAGTCACGGCTACTCTCAGACAGTACGTTGAAGAGATGGAGGGTGCACACCTCCGCGCTGGTGTGGTGAGTGCGATGAAGTTGGCCGAAGCCGGAAACGGTCTGATCCAGGCCAACCGCCTTGATAACTCGTTGATTGCCAACGAGCCCGAGCGTGCTGCCGCGGTCGTCGGTACTGTGCTCAACTTGATCCATCTCCTGGCCAGCGTTTTCTCTCCCTACCTCCCCGCCACCTCCAAGGCTATCAACGAGCAGCTCGACGTGCCGTTCGGCCTGATCCCCTCTCTGGAGGACATCAAGGACGGCTGGAAGCCGACTGCCATCAAGCCGGGTCACAAGATCGGCAAGGCCAAGTACCTGTTCTCTCGTATCGACCCCAAGAAGGCCGACGAGTGGCGCGAGATGTTCGGTGGTTCCCAGGCCGACCGCCAGAAGAAGGAAGAGGAAGCGGCCAAGGCTGCGGCCAAGAAGGCTGCAAAGGATGCCGCTAAAGCTAAGAAGAAGGAGAAGAAGGCCAAGGCTGCTGAGGCCGCTGCTGCCGGCAGCAATGTTGAATCCTCCGCCAAGGGAGGCGCCCAGGCTGTGGAGGTCACCACCGATAGCAAGACCGACGAGGCCGTCGAGAAGGTCGCCGATGGCTTGGCCCAGGTCACAATTCCCTCCTCCTAAATCACATAGAATTTCCAGCCCCCCAATCCCGTCAAAAGACTCGGAAGACAGCGTCTATAGAGTTGCAGCGACTAGCGGACTCCCTTGATATCCTGTGCTGATGATTAGAGCGTTTTTTTCTCTCTTCCCACTTCCTTTCGTTTTCTGGCTTCGTCATCGTAGATCGTTGATGATCTATAGCTACTTTTCTTCCTCTTTCTTCTTCTCGTCTTGGGATACTGCGTTGCTACGTATGCAAAACATACTTTGTGAAAATGGAGTCGATATGAGATACGATGTTGGTGAAATGAGCGCAACGGTTGATGACTGACTGATTGATTGATTGATTGATGGATGGATGGATGGATTCAGTAGTTTTTCTCGGTTTTGGATGTCTCGCTTTGGCTTCACGTTTGTTATCATCCCGCATAGTTTCAGTTCAACAAAACTCGACAATTCAACATGGGTTTCAATACAATCCATTCCCGTCTTTTCTGTGCCAGGGTCTTGCTGTGGGCTCTACCCCCAACATTCCCAATTCAGTTACATGGATCGAAGGGTATCGCCTGTCCCCAGCAGCTACAGTAAACTTCCTTCCATTTCATACAAGAGGACCCCGGATAGACAACAGGATTAACCTGAATAAATCGCTCATATGCATTCCCAGAGAGTAATAGTAGTAATAACAAAAAGAGTACATGATACGGGGAAATGAAACAAAGGAAAAAAAAGAAAAAAGCATGACGAGCCAATCCATGTATAACCGAAGCATGATACTCCAGATGTATGAGCCCCGCCAAAAGTCCATTTGAAATCGAAAGGTTTGGCCTCCACGACGCCTCCATGTGCAGATCCCTTCCAACTACATAGCCTTCTCCCGGTCTACTCCATTACCTCTTCCGGTTGTTTGGTCTAGGCTTCACTTCTTCTTGGCTGACAGGGTGCAGCATGACCTTGTTGGGCAGCTGCTGGTTGTTGGCGGAGTAGCCCTTGCTCCAGTCGTAACTGACGGCATAGGCGAAGATGTTGCCGTTGCGGTTGAAGGCGGTGCTGGAGATGGTACCGCCCACGGAGGGATATCCCTTTAGACGGTGCTTGGCGTCCTTATCCCAGAAGTGGAAGGTACCGTCACTGCCGGCGGTGCTGAAGGTGCCGTGGACGGGGTGGAAGGAGATGGCGTTGACGGAGTAGATGTTGTTGACATCGCGCTGAGGTGTCTCACGGTGGCACTTGAAACTGAAGTTGTTGGAGGAGTCCTTGTCCTCGACATACTGGATCGCACAGCGGCCCTCGACACTGCCGACGGCGAAGCCAGTGGCAGTCGAGAAGCAGCTGACTACTCGCGTCTGCCACTTGAGGGGAGACTGCATGGTCTTGTAGAATTTGGTGGGGTTTTCGAGGTTGATGACGTTGATGTAGCGGTCTGCGGTGCCGACCACGAGAAGTTTGTCCTTGACATCCATGGTGTAAACACGCTCCTGGCACTCCACCGTGGCAATGGGGTTCGACTGTCGCAAGTCCCAGTACTTGATGGTCTTATCCCAAGAGCCGGTCACAAGTAGCGGGGTTCCTCCGGCCGGATTTGGGATCATGTGGCAGCATTTGATGGGCGCATCGTGAGCGGCGACTTGAGTGGTCGCATTGGTCGCAAGGTCGAGCATACGAGCGGCTTTGTCGGCGCCAGCTCCGACAACTTTCGTACCATCCTAGGTAGCAACAGAGTCCAGATCAGTCAACTGTAGACACTGCGACAAGGGAATGAGGGTGAGCTCACCGGCGACCAGCAACAGCTCAGAACGGGGGCCTCGTGCTCGAACAGAGCTTTACCTTCGCTCTGGCCCTGCTCATTGATCTCGTAAATGCGAACCTTCTTGTCCCATGAAGCGACAGCTAGGTGTTCACTAGCCGGAGAGAAGCGGAGGTCCGAGATACTGTCCTCGGGAGGTTGGTTCAGGGCAACATCCTTGGAGATATCACCTGTGGTGTTGGTCTGACCAGCTGAGGTCGTCGCGGCGCCGACGGAACCGAAAAGCGACATTAGGGCGGCGAAGTATTACACTGTATTGACCGATTAGGCGATAAGCTGTACTATCAGGGACATTGAGGGGATCCACAACGCGAGACGAACCAGGAAAAAGCAGACGTGACTGGAAGCGGGAGGAGAGGCAGCAAGACCTGGGTGGTGGTGTTGTACCCAAGCGGTCGCGGAATAGAGGCGCAACCGGCCAAATTGACCGAAGAGCGTGAAGCTTGGATGTTTCGAAAGGCGCACTAGATTGACAGCCCGAGCAGCATTCACTAATTGCACGAAAAGGAATGGGATGAAGATGGATTGGATTGTATGGAAGCTCGCTCATCCAAATGGGCAATAATTAATCGAATATCTTCTTCGCGGCTTTCCCTTCACCGCCTTCAAACAAGACAAACTGCTGAGTCAGCCGGGGGAGAGCTTCCCTCTCATCTTTCCGTCCTGGGTAATCACTCTGTAGTACTACATAGTTACTACCTACTACTAGTACCAAGTAGTGGGTAGGACTGTGGGATTATCTCTACTACTGTCTATAGTGAGATACCCTTTGTTCACTCCCAGGACCATCTGCATATTCAACAGCAGTTCGACAAGTCCTTCGCTTTGATTCTTTTCTGCTATACCAATGAAGGAGTTACAACATTTAGTCTCCACACATCTGAGATTGCTGAACTATATACTAGACATAAGAAATACAGGCAGCCTAACAACATACCTTGCCAACAATCTAGTACTAATCCCCTGACTGCTCGGTTGAGACCTCAGCTCTTTGCAGACTGGTTGAATTTGCTCGACACTGGCACCCCATAACGATCAACGTCAACAAAATGGACACTGGCTACGAGCATGGGAGGAAGGGGGGGGGGGGGAAAAGCTGACCTGCAACGGGTCGCCACCCACTATCGTTGACTGATGCTGGTAGTTGTGTTGCAGGCAATATGAAAATGCAGCGTGGACCCCCGTTATGATTCGTAGGACCCCGCCCAAGCCTGCACGGTCAAAATGTTGGATGGCCAATAACCTGCAATCCACCACCTTATGATCGCCGATTGCTGTAGCCCCGTCTCGGGTGCAGTTTCACTTTCGAAGGTACCTACCTACCTAGTCTACGTAGTAGGCAGGCTACAGCCTACAGGGGGGACATCACACCACTGGTCCAGTCCCGGGGCCTGGACAGGCACACCCATCAAGACTCCTCTCAAACCTCGAGCTTGTCTAGTCCCGGCCAGGGCTGGTATCCCTTCATTCGATGCCCTCGCGATTTGGATGTCAAAGAACCTCACGTGCCATGGGGGGGGATGACAGACCTTACATGAGCGGGCATTTACAGTTCAACCTGTACCACGGAAGACATCTGCCGATTGTCTGGCACAATGAAAGGAAATGGGCGCCATGAGGTCATGCATTTCATCCGTCTTTCCGTCTGGGGTTGATCCGCTTCAAATCAGTTGGTGGTTACGAGAAAGGTGACGCATTTTCGATCTTCATTACGGCTGCTGGTTCTATGGGGAGGGGGTGCCGTATGCCACTACTAAAACTACAACGACTATACTACTACTGCCTGGAGACTGGTCCACCAAAGATACCGCAGGTAGGTGCAGGGAGAAGGAAAAAGGAAATCATTGGGCCAGGCGGGAGAGCGACCGAAGGAGAGAAAATAAAGTACGGCGAAAGAAGCAGACCAAGTGGAGCGGGCGGGAATGCGGGGTGCAGCCTTAGTGGACCGTCGCCCGGAAGCTCTCGACGTCAGGCTTGCTCGTGTGATCCGGTTGCCCCGGGTGCATCATTCATTGAATTACTATCTACTTACTTGGAGGAATTTATCTGACACCTTACTTAAGAATTTAATACTAGATGTCTCATTAATGAAAATGGAGAGGGGGTTATGGGTGTGTGAGTGTGAGTGTGTGCGTGGGAAGGGAGAGGTGGTACTTTGAAACCACCATCCATCAGGTGATGGTCCGGATGTAGATATGCATCGTCCGGTGCGGAGATCCTAACAACATCATCCTCCTCCTCGTCCCATCATTCCACCCTGCCTGCATTTCTCTCTCTCTCTTCCTCTTCCTCTCGCCATCCAGGCTTCCTCCCCTGTTCACTGTGGGAACATACGATCCAGGTTGATTGCTTGGGGCCCGCTTCTATTCATCATTTGAGCCATTCAGTCCCCATCATAATCCCTGTAGCTGTGCAGTAGTTTGCAATTGAACTTTACGTACACCCGTGCTGTAGACTACTCCTCAAAACCTCCTCTCTTAGTCCAATGCATCCCATGCCTGTATGTATGTATGTATATATGAATGTACATATGTATCTATCTACATCATGTATGAATGGTATGGATGGAATAATGGGGATGTATCAGGTAAGGAACACGATGGTATGGTATACGTCAGGTACCTTAGTAGCAAGTAGTAACTGACAGAGACACATCCCAAAGTAGCAAGTGAGAGCAAAGTGAACCGCTCCTTCCCTCTTCTTCTTGTTCTCCCCATTTCTGGGTTGGCCCATCCATGTCACCTGCCCTTTCCCTTCCTCCCTTTTCTTCCTTCCCTTCTTCTTTCTTCTTCTCCTCCTCCTCCTTTTCCTTTCCCTTCTTTCTTTCTTTCTTCTCTCTACTATCTTGTTGGATTCTACTGACTTGATACTCTCTCCCTCCCATTCCATACTACTTACTGCCCATACTACTTACTACCTCACTTACTGGTAAGTTCAACTCTCCTATCTAAGAGTAGCACTAGAATGCTCGAGTAGTCATTCCACGTCACCACTCGGGTCCTTCCCTCCTCTGCCACTGGAGTGTCCTCAGTGGCCCAAGGAACATCATCCATCCCCTTAATAGTACACACAACTAACAAACTATTCTGTATATCAGTGCTCCTACTAAGAGACTCACTGCTTCCTGCCACCACATTCCGCAGTCATGTCTGAACCACTCACCAAGATTGACTCGGCCATCGAGATATCCCCCAAGGACGAGAAGGCCCCCGAC